AGAGAGAGAGAGAGAGAGAGAGAGAGAGAGAGAGAGAGAGAGAGAGAGAGAGAGAGAGAGAGAGAGAGAGAGAGAAGGGAGACTGTCAGGTAGAGCACCCTATGGTTGCCAGGCGACCACCTGAATCTATAGAGGACAATCCACATGGCATACCAGCATCGGTCTCTCGCCACGTTTTCTCAACCACGAAACCTCGGCTTACTTCCACCCAAGCCCCCTTTCTGTTGAGATCCTCTCCCCTCACCTCAGGAGAAACTGCTGCCTGGGAATTTTGGCTGCTGCCCTGTAGAGAGAGTCCTTCAGGCCGCTGATCAGTCACGCCGAGGTTGTCACCACATGCTCCAACCAGCCCTCCACGCCAACGCAATTCAGCGACGAGAGCTCGACGTTTGCGAGGCGAGCCGCCCTTTTCGGCCTCGACAGCGAGGGCTTCGATCCTTTCCATTAGCTGATCTGAATCCAGCACGCCCGTGGGTGCAGCATCTTTTCCGGACGTAGCATGGACCACTATTGGTGCCAACCATTCCATTTTGGAAATTATGTACCACCGACTGTCATGATGATGGGGCTGCAGGATTAGCTGACGGATGTCGCGTGTCCACCAGCCTTTCCAATGGTTCGGATTCAGCTCGGCATTTTTCCGCTCCTGATTATTCCTGTCGACTTGCTCTGCGATTTCATTGATTCCACTCCGGCTGTGAACCCCTAGCTTCTTCGGCTTCCCATTTTCCATTTGAAGCCGACATTTCAATTGTGCAATGCCCCTCTCCCAATCCTGTTTCTGCAATTCCACCCACAAGTTGTACTCATAAAACAAATAACCCTTGGAAACTGCGCCAGCCCAAACCTGAATGTTAGCGAGCTCGTTCATCCTGACAACCCCAGGACCTATAATTTCATACTTTATTATCCGATCCAACGTTGTCTCCACAACCTCTGCGTGCTTCCCAGTGCTCAGAACCAGTTCCACATCTCTTGATGCTTTAACAGATTTGTCTACTCCGGATAGCGTGGCGGACACCATGACTGCTGGGCGGCCAGGATGCTCTTCCTTCTTGTCGGTCGCACTGACAGCTCCTCCATCAGTGTCCCCTTCATGAACGAGCAGCGGCATGTTATTTCCCTCGCCTACACACCCTTCACAATCAGCTGTGTTTACCTCTTGCATTGCCTGCATAAGGCAGTCCCCCTCATTTATTCCTGATAGCCTGCTAGAGGTCACCAGTGCTGTGGTGTGGTCAGGTTCACTCTCATACTCATCAGCTCTGCAGACAGTCTTGTCAATATCTCCTTGAAGACCAAGCAAATCGCCACCCTCACCTTTGTCCTCTCTGTAATCAGCTTTGTGAACACCTTGTACGGTATGAATCGGATGATCCATATAAATAGGTACCGTACGATCTTTCTGCTCCACGCCCAACGTTAGTCGATTGTCCAAGGGTGCAAATGAGACACCCTCCTCCTCCGACGATGGGACCACGTTCACCACCTTTGCCTCCTCGATCATCAGGTTATTACTTAGATGATCCGGCAGTCTTCCCAATGATTGTAAATGGGACAGTTGAGGTGATGGTTCTTGTTGCGAACTGTCAGCTTTTGTATTCTCTGGGTTGTCGCGTTCGGGTTTGTTTGCTGACAAGTCTTTTTTCAACTTGCTCTTTGATCCCTTCTGCCTGCCGACGAAACCTTTCCCGAAACCATGAGGTCTGCCCAAAAAAACTGTGCTACTATCACGAGCTGAAGTTCCTTTCGAACTTGACCCTGCACTTGCAGGCAGCTCCCCTTCTGATCCCTCCCGTAGCCCACTTTGTAATGTAGTTTGCAATGAATGCA